GACTCATATTAGTCTATATATTCGGATTTCAATATTCATAGTATGTAATTTATTTATTATGAAACTTGTAGATGATGATTATACAGTTTGAATTGATTAAATAATTTGTTTATTACCTAATGTTAAATATATTTCAGTGTTTATGGCATGCATAAGAACTATCATAAGGTTGTTGATGTTTTATTAGCATGAACTTGAAATCTGTTGTAGATTTATTGATAATTTTTTTTTATTGACTATATATTTAAAAATTGAAAATGTTACAAAATTATTTTGTTTTGTTATTGTTTCTTCGAATACAAAAAAATCTTATTATATATTTCAGGTTCGACGAGTCAGAATATTTATGATTTAAAGTTGTTATAGTGGTTTCCAATGATTAATTTAGGGATATATAATACTGCAGTGTCATATCTGTGAAATAAATATTTAATTTTTTTGTATATTATATAATTAAACAAATCACGGTAAAAAAGTCCGATATTCTAGTATAGAAAAACTGAAAATTATTTATTAATATATATATATACATATATATATATATATATATAATAATTATAATTAATAATAAGTATAAGTATTTATTTTATAAAAAAATCCGAATTATTCATTTATAAAAAACAAATAAAAATATCTTTATATTTATAGTTGCATCAGTAAAACTTGATAAACTAAATAATTTAGATAAAAGCAATTGTTTAATATTGCATTCTTCCAAAAGTTAAGTAGTGTTCAAAGTTCAAAGAAAGGTGTTAAATCACTTTCAAAAGTTGTGATATTTTTGATAGCAATGAGTACCTAAACAACAAGATTAATTGTTAGTTTGGTCAGGTAGATCATTTAATTAAAATTTATATTTTAACTATTTATAAGTTATTACTAAATGGAATGTTAATAATTATTGTCCATCAAATCACATTTTTCTTTCTAACTTATTATATATACTAGGATTTTTTACCACAGACTTTTTGGTAGGTAGTTTTACTGGTTAAGACTTAGGCAGTTTACTTATTACCAGGTATTGATGTATCTATTATGTTAAACATACTTAAATGCCTGCAATTTATTAATACTTTATATTATCTCATGAAACTATGTAAGTATAATATTCACGTAATGTCATATAACATAATCCAATATTATATAAAGGATAGTAATTGTTTATTATAATTTAAATTATGCTTTTACTATTTATTTTGAGCTTATAATATTAATGTCTATCTCTATCTATATCATGTTTCTTTAAAGATAAAATATATATATATATATATATATATTTAAATACTTGATTGTAAAATCTTCTTCGTTTTTGTATCTTGTTTGATATTTAGTATCTATTTGAATGATTATGTAATCCTAGGATGAACTAACTTTAACTAGATTGACCTTTATTTTTACATATTTCATGAATTATAACTTCATACACTATATTGTGCTTTATGATAATAATCATAATCAATATTAATTAATATAAACTAAATAGTAAATTGGCCATTATATCTATACTTACCTATATATATATATATACATGTGATATCATATCACTGATATAGTGATATGCATTTTATAATTTATGCATCACCCGAACTTATTGAACACTAGCAATAATAATAATAATAATAATAATAGTAAGTTTATTAGCGCCCTTGTTAGGGCAATAAAGACAATTTTTTTACAAGAAATATAAAATATTATATAAAAAATAATTAAATACATGTTATTAAAGTATATGATATACAATAGTGTTGAGTTTTAATATAGTTTTAATATAGTTTTAATTGATATGGATATATAACTGATATAACTGGTAATTTATTACAATGAGAAATTTGTGAATTGAAAGTTAAACATAGATTTCAAAGATAATCAAAAATGAAGTCAAAATTATTCAAGCTATTACATACCCGAAGTATTCGAATTTTTGTTTCATTGAAACTATATTGTTGCGTGTAGAATGATACGCGAAAATAAACGAAGTCTTAGACCTAGTGTAGAATTTCGGGGTATATAACAGTACTTTTGATAATTTTAATAATAAAGGATATATTATTGAAGTTACGCCTAGAAAAAAAAAATGCTTGTCTAACTTTACAGTAATATTGTTTATTATTTATATAATTACCTAATGTAAAATAAGTTATAAGTAACAAATTTCAAGGGCTGTTGATATTGATATAAAAGAGAGTGTGATAAATTATTGATTAACTGTGCTATCGAAGGATTTAAATATTCGTGTCGTGTACATAGGTAATACAATTTTCCAATAATAGTTTTATGTAAGTACTTAGCGTGCGTGGTGTGTACAGTATACCTACGGTTGGTCATTGGTTTTACACGTACTTGCAACAAATTTATGTGTATGACACGAAATAGTATTAATCACGCTAAGTGGTAAAATATCTCATTTAAGGTACATCTATCTACATGTAATACTTACCTATACGTATTTTTTCTTCACAAGTAATATTTTTGTCAAATAAAAATACGGCTATATAGTATAATTTGCGGAACGTGCTTTTCTGTAATCGATATATAATCCACTGGTTATTTTCAGAACAACAAACTCTCGAATCGACTATACCGAGTAATCTACCTACTCGTGTCGTGGTTTTTCGCCTGCATAATGTATTATTATTATTATGATTAGAAAATATAGGCTAGTGTTATTGTCATTTTACCAGGAACATGTGTTTTATTATTGTATATCATAGGTACCAATGTGTCGAATGATGAACCTACGCAAAAATACAACATAATACCGACTGATCCATGTATCCTCACTCATTATTTCAATAAGTTGTAATTTATTTAAAAATATTTTTTTTGCATGATTTGACGTAATTTCAAAAAAAAACTATATTTTTTTATAATTGCATATACTATAATCTTTTAAGTTTCCGAAGAAGAATATTTTATACAAATTGAAATTTTAAATATGTAATTAATTAGTTAAAATTTATAAGTACATATTATAATTTAGATAAACAGAAGGGGTTTGTAGTAAAATGTTAGTTCATTAAGGAATTGTAAATTCCTATGTTAGAGTAGGAGGTAAAAAAAATTATGTACATTAATTCATACAAAATATATGTATAAGTTCCTTAAAAGTAAAAAAAAGGTACTTTAATACGTTTCTATACTAACCATATTGATTTACTCTGTTTATTGCTTATTTTTACTAAAATATTGGAATTATTTTGACTTAATTTTAATGTATAGAATATTATGATATATTTTACTATAAAAATAATTGCTTAAATAATATTGTATTATCAAATAAATAAATATATTTTTTTAAATTATTTAATAATTCAACATTTTTAAGTATAGATAATACCTATAATATAACAAACATACATAATAAAAACTTAATAAATACTATCATATTCCAATAATCACGAATAAATGATTAGTAATAGGTATTAACACGTGTGATTTTTTTTTGTATACCGTGTAGCAATTTACACATATCATTTTTTACACGGTGTAGAAATTTACATTCACCCGGTTCATTACTTCTTTCATCTAATATAGCTTTGAATATTTAAAAACAGTTATAACTAATAAACTACTTGTTCGAAATTTGGTTTTTTATATATTGAAATACAGTGGATTCCGCTTAATGTGGGCACGTTGAGACCAGCTCTGTTTGCCCACATTAAGCGGTTGCCCATAAAAACCGAAATTAGTAAAAAAAAAAATAATTTTTATAAAAAAATATATTTGTATTATCATATAATTGAAAAAAATGTTAAATAATTACTAGGTATATAAATAAAACTAAATACCTATTAATATATTAAATAAAATTAATCTTTGGTTGTAGAAGGTATACAAAACGTTGTAATTTTTCGTTGTCTAAGCTGTTTAGTATGGATCTGGTTGACAAAATGGTCACACGCTTCAAGTTTATCAGACGGACTATTTTTGTTTCCCTCTTGCATGAAGAACTTCTGCAAGAAATCAATGCACTTTTTCGCCTCTCTTTGGTGAAATTTGTTTGTTTGAATGTTAATGATTTTTATTACTTTCGATAAACACAATCTCATAAATACGACAAAATCCTATTAAATTAGTCGTTTTTAAATACTTATGTGTATATTCTAACGCTATGATAAAAAAAAAAAAAAATTGCTAACATAAACCGAATCGAGTGTCCATATTACGCGGTTTTATTTAACATTGTTAATATACATTTGTATTGGGACCAGACATGTTTGCCCACAATAAGCGGATGCCCATATTAACCGGTGGCCACATTAAGCGGAATCCACTGTATTCCGAGTATTATTCTGATCCGGGATATGATAGGTATTATTTTTTCTATTTTAGAAAAAAAAAACAACCGCAAGTAAACACCTATTTTAATAAATCTCTTTTGTAAACAATCACATACGCCGTCGTCATAACCGTATACCTAAGTCGCGATATTAATATTATGATGTACGCGCATTAAAAACGATCGACGATCAGCTGTGATTGTAGGTATAGTGCAGCTATATTATAATACACCTGATATATAGTTATATAATACACATATTTTATTCATGTCGCCGTGTTTATATATCTCATGCACGTCCCTTCTACTCGCTGCAAATTTATGAAAATCTAATTCAAACACAGTTATTCATTATGTAGACGGCATCCATGACAAATAAGCACAACGCGGAATCCGTTCATCCGCGGGGCATAGGTAGTATATTGTTGTTATTATTGTTGCGGTATAGTCGTACAATATGTAATATTATGTATGTTATGTTTTTTTTACTATTACTTTTTTTTTTTTTTTTTATGTATAAATTATTATGCGATATCGAGTTGACCCGAACCCGGTTCGTCCGCGTGACCTCCAAATCAGACTTGCAGCGGCCGTGGTGGCGGCATTAGCGGTAGCGATGGCGGCAACAGGCCGCGCCAGGAGATTGATAAAGTAGTAATAATAATAATAATAATAATAATAATAGTAATAGTAATAATAATATTATTTTTCGTGTGGTCAGTTTCCCAGACGTCGTTGTGCGTGTACGCAACTACGTGCGTACGTACGTGTTGTACTAACGTCTAACACGTAAGTACTGTCCGTTGTCGTCTTCCAAAGTTCCTACACGGTTCCACCCCTCATCGGTGACTACCCCTCGAAGAACAGTAATCGAGCTAATAATAAAAATAATAGCAACTGTTATTATTGTATCGCGGACAGTGCGCGTGTGCGTGTGTGTGTTGTCGGTTGTTATTGCAGTGGTGCGCGATTAGTATTTTTTTTTTCAATTTTTTTTTTTTTTATTTGTAATTTTATGTACACATAGAGGACAATTTTTTTTTTACTAGTGAAATAAACAGTTTTTGCAGTCCAGCGAGTCGCAACACTTGACCGTAATCACAGGTATACTATTGTCCACCGATTTGATTTGCCCGTGGTTTTAATTGTTAATAACATGTATATATTGACTCGCGAGCACTATTATTTTTTGCCCGAAGTTGTATAACGTTCTACTGTAGCGATTAAACTCTGAAACGAACTGGAATGTGTAGCATAAAAATAACGTGTCAAAGGTTAAAACCATCTGTTTTTTTACTCGCATTTATTGCAATTGTTTATGAAAAACATGTCCGATGAATATAAGTCTATAAAACTTTGTGCCAGCTAAAGTTTATTAAATTTCAACAATAATGAACATTATCTATTTGACTTGTCTTAGAACTACTGACGTATCATATAATAAGACGACGGCGTCATATTAGGTTTGTATATGTTAATATTAAGTTCTTGCACAGTTTGTGTATAATATATCGCAGTATTTAATAGAATACATATGTGTTTAAATGCATCATATGTTACGAATTATTTCAGAGTTGTGAGGTTAAATTTTAATTCAGCTCGTGCATTGTTTTATCAATAATTTTTTTGTATACGCACGTGGTTGTGTCTTAGTAAAATATGTTTATGTCATGGTAAATTTTTAAATAAATAATAAAATATTTTTAATTTAAATCATTTTTTAGTTTGAGAAATTGAAACTATTAAATAGATAATTTAATTGTGTATTAGTATTAGTATATATAATATATATTTTTCTATAGATTATAATATGTAATGACGTTTCTTTTAATTAGTTTGTGTTATTTGTACTAACTTTGTATATTATCATGATAACTAAAAAAAAAAAAAGATGAATATTTATGAAAATAATTGATAAAACAAATGTATTCTATAAGCAAAACAATGTCATTAAATTATTAAATAAAAACAAACAGCAAGGGCAAGCACTGATGGAGATAGAAACAGTTGCAATTTCGATATTTTAAATAATAAAAAGAAAAATGAAAACGAATTTTTTCTTTTTGAAATCACATTTAGACTTTCAATACGTGGATGTTTTCCAAATATTTGAGGTAGTATACGGTTTTAAAGCCCATAATTTACTTACCCACTAATAAAATTTGATTTAATAAATATCTGTTAGGTATATATAACTTCTGTTATCACTTACAATGGTTATAATATTTGAATAGATATTGTATTTAACTATTAAGCGTAATACATAATATTATTACGATACACCTACGTTGTATAGAAAATAAATGGGTTGGTGTACACAGAGATAGATCGAAGATTGAAATGATAGTTGCTAAATCATAAGATGGGTTCCTTACAAAATTTATCTGCAACTTGTGATATTTTTATCTCGAATAAAAACTTTTCGTTGTAATGTAACATTCTCCATCATAGTCGGAATTTAAACATTATTCAACTAACCGTTAAATCCATCATTGTATGTACATTTATAAGAATCTTATTCTTCTTTTCTTTTAAATATTCGTAAAAATATATGGATAGTACCTAACGAATAAAAGATCACAACAATTATTATTCTTCTATTTTAAATAGTTAACACGTGACAATATGCAAACGCTGCATAATATAATAATGATGAATTATATACAATTGAATGATACAGACTACTATAGTTAATATACGTATTTCGTTACTATGTTTATACAGTATAAAACAATACTATTATGTTAAATTGTCTATAATTTTAAGCCATTTGAATTTGTTACATAAGGGATATTCAATTATTCCTATTCAAAAGAGTTTTTTAAATTTGCACAAAGTTATGATATTATTACATTATACTATCAATATTGATCGTAATGCGTGTTTTAAAAAAATAAAATATAATGGTGCATAGAATAGTTGTTTAATAAGCTTTTAAAAATTATATCGATTAATATTATTTTAAAACATCTCGTTATGTTTTTTTTTTCATTGAATTATTTGTTTAGTTTACATTTATAATTTCCAAGTCGTCCATATTTAATAATTGAATATGAACACAATTATAAATAATTAATAAATATAATAATACAAAAAACAACAATACATTAATTTAGGTCTCTTAAACATTTAATTAAATGTTTATGATACGAAAAAAATAATTATTAAAGGTGATATAGAAAAACAAACACCTAAATTATTTAAACGATAGCAAAAGTATTTTTTAATTTAATAATATTTAATAATCTAATAATCCCATCGGGATGAGTCGGGATGAATACCGCATAAATGTGCTATGTCTACATAAAAAATAATTTTTATTCAATTTAAACTGAATCTGTAACATTAAATACAATAATGTTGTTAACATTTTGAAAAAGATAAGTATGTATAATTATTAATAATAAGCAATAATATATGCATTTTTACAGATAATTGAAATTTAAATTTAAATATAGTAAAAAAATGTTTAGGATTGATTACTGAAGATTAAAAAAATGAATATTTGATAATATTTTATCATTGTTGAATCATTAATAACACTATATACGTTTTAGATCAAATCAATTATTATTCATTAAAACACAAAAGAATGTGGATATATGATTTAAATGAGCTACTTTATGGAGCACATTATGTGTACATTTTAAATTTTATATCCAAAAATATAAAATTAAATGAATAAAAAAAAATCATTGTTATAGTTACAAAGCAATGTAATTTTTTATGTACTCTTACCAGTCTTCTATCTAAAAAAATTAATATAATTTAGTTTTAAGACTATTATTGCTGATATATTAATTAGTTTATAGATAATTGTTTGATAAAATTAAACTTATAAGTTATTATTGATATAATCTGATTTGTCTGATTTATATACAAATATACATAAACTATAGTTATGGGTATAACGTAAAAAATTTATATAATCAATAAGTAAATGTTATTGTAGTTGCGGAAATATATTTGTGCATTATTTGTTTAAATGTTGTATTCTATACTTGTTATAGGTAGTTGTTTCTAAAGCTATTTAAATTATTATCCAGGAAAATATTGTTTTTAACTTACAACTAACAATAATAATTAATTTACATATACCACTATAATATATGAATTTTAGTGATATTTTAAAACCAGTTAAGTATAGCTAAATATTTGAAATTATTACTATAGCATCAGAACTAGTTTTTATGTTAATTTTTGTACATGAAAAAAATTCATTGATACATATTATTCAGATAAAAGATTAAAAGCAGAAATGACAAACACTATTATTATCAAATTGATATTATCATTTTAATCTTTATTTTTACTAAATAAAAATTTAAAGTCCAGGAATTGGGTTATATTTTATTTAAATTACTTGATTATGAGCATTATGTGTATTTATAATTTTTTAATTTTAATAGACCAAACTATATACTTTTAAGTATAGTTATTTACTTTTATTAAATTTTTCTAAAAATATTCTGTACTAGCAAAATGTATACCATTTTATATATTTTAGTTTATGTGATAACATATAATAAAATTATTTTTAATAATCATTAATGTTTTTCATTCCAATATTTAACTATTCATACTTATTTTGTGGGGATTAAATTTAACCCAGCTATATTATAGCTTCATATTACAAAAAAAATGTGTATATAATTATTTAAACTCATTTATATATTTATAAGTATATTATATTTCAAAAGATCAACGATATTAAAGATAATATAAATAAATGTTTGTGGCCTTTATCAAAATAATTAAAGCACGTATATACATACTATACGTATCTTCAATTGAAATGAAAATCAATACGAATACTTTGTAATGACAAAGAAATTTTGGACGAATATGATACTGTTTAGTGATTCGTTAGTAACGTAGCTAGATAAAAATGTCTATAAAAATGTAAAGATGATATAAAAAAAAGAACGTTTGTAGTCAGAAATTGAGTCACTATCTTTTTAAATGTGAACTGTGGATAATAAAAATTAATTTTATACAATATGTTGTATAATTATATAGGAAAAAGGAATCCAACAAAAATAATCAACGCATTTTGTTACTATTGGACATAATTGTAGCTAACAGTACTTTTAAGTTCATCGTTAAACATTCAGACCACACAAATTGAGGTTAAAATAAAAATAATAATAAAAAGTTTTCAAGAATAAATAATTTAACGCTAGAGCTTATGTACCAAATATTTTTTTTTTAAATATTCGTAATCGCATTATGCTTGTGTAATGTCGGACTCGGCAAACTCAGCAAAGTTAGATCACTAAGAAAATAATTTATTTGTTGATTAGGCTTCTATTTAAAATAAACTCATTATTATATGTGTTAATATAAGCATATACAATTGCGCAGGTAACATAATATTGTTTTTGGTGACCTTTACATGTCACCAGTTAACAGTTAATAGCTATAGATAGATAACAATAGTCGGAAACCGGAAGGAAAGCTTAGTAGGCGCGTTTTTGGAAAAAAATCTGTTAATTTGAAGTCTATGAACGATTTTATTTACATTTTTAAAATATATTCAGTCATTTTTATATCACAGTGTGATTTTTAATAGTTTAAATAAATAAACTACATTTTTAGTGTATAGAATCTTTACTACCAATAGATATTTAAACAAGTTGAACTGGTTTTGTAGAAATGGCCTTCTATGATATAACATTTTTTTATTAAAGAACCATTGTAATTGTTTATAATTTTAATGTGTGGTAACTATATTTTTAATCTAGTTGATGACAAGTTTATACACCAAGTTTCATTTAGGCTACAAAATTTGTCGTTTTAGATAGAAAATGTATTTTAGAAGTTATTTAAAAATAGTAATGATTTGATTTTCAAGGTAGGTATATTTTTCTAAAAATCTAATAATTAAATGTGATTATAATTGAGTTAAATTTTGGCTTTTAATCTTTTATAAAATTAATTTTTATATTTATCAGTAAGTAAGAACATAATTAAATATTATCAAAAATTTTGACAGACAATAGTTCATAATTTAAAAAAAAAATTGCTTTTATATTCAAGCATAATTAATCATCTTAAATTATAAGTGTAAAATTATGTAATAAAACTCTGATAGTGTTCTAATT